TACTCATGAATGTTGGACAATGAATTGTTATTAGAATATGGATTTCTCAAGTTTCCCAATTGTTTGTCATTGGGGAGGGAAGTATTATGAGGATGTTGGGCAAATATGCCATGAAGGTGGTAGAACCAGCTTTGTCATGGTTTCTCATGGCGCTTGCATGCTCGAGATCCTTCAAAAAATACATGCAGCCACAATGATTCATCCTAGCCGTTCTTTGGGGTTGAAAATGAAATTTCCCATGAACGGGGGAAAGTACATGCTTATGCCCCTCATTGATGAGCTAGCTATAACAAATATGTGGGGCATAGTTCAGATGGAGGATATGTCCACGCTGGAGATATACATTGAGGAATCCTGTGACGCTTATGGTACGCAATCAACATCAAATGTTGTTATATCTACGCATGATTTCAATGCAGGTGTGAATGCAGGGAACTCCTCAAATGCTCCTGTACTGGACATGGTTATACAGGAAGATGGTTGGTATTTGCACAACGGTGCATCATTTGTGGATGGGCAGGGAAGTGATGATGATGCTAACGAGAACATCAATGGTGATGACATGACAGAATCTGATGAAGATGATGGTGATACTGTCACGGCAACTGCCCCGTCTAGCCACTTTACTAGAATATATGATCTCCCTGAGGGCTTTACTGATGCGTGGATGAGTGGATCAGGTGAGACAAGGTTTACCTCCGAAGGTGAGTTTGAGGTCGGTCAACAATTTGACAACAAAGAACAAGTCATCAATATGGTGAGCTTGTATTCTATCAAACGAAACCAATTTTTTCGGGTGATAGAGTCCGATAAACACAAATGGGTGGCACAATGCAAAAGGAAGAAAGAATGTAATTGCCCCTGGAGAATACGCGCCACGAAGAACAAAGGCAACCTGGACACCTTCACAATTGTGCGTTATCCTCGACCTCATTCTACTTCGTGCGTTGGCAACACCGACACTACCGATCACATGGCTTTGACTTCAGATTTCATCTCTAAAGATGTGATTGACATTGTTCGCACTGATCCTTCCCTTAAAGTGCATACTATCATTGAGATGCTGAAGGAAAAGTATGGGTATACAGTATCATACCGGAGAACATGGATGGGGAAGTAAAAGGCCATAACAGAAATATTTGGCGGTTGGGAGAAGTCATATTCTGAATTGCCCCGTTTCATGACAGCGCTCCAACATTCAAATCCTGGAACTATTGTGCAGTGGTACCCACCCCCTAATACTCCCACAGGTTATATGCAGTTTCAAAGAGTTTTTTGGGCATTCAAGGCATCAATACATGGTTTTAAGCATTGTCGACCCGTACTTACTATTGATGGAACACACTTGTATGGAAAGTACAAGGGTACATTGCTCGTGGCCATGGGTTGTGATGCGAACAACCAAATATTTCCAGTGGCCTTTGCAGTTGTTGAATCTGAGAATGGGGATAATTGGCCATGGTTTATGGCATGTATTAGGCAGTTTATCACTAATAGGGAGTTGTGTGTCATTTCTGATAGACATGGAAGTATTGTCAGGGCAATGAATGAGGTGGGAAGTACTTGGGAGGAGCCTTATGCGCATCATAGGCTATGTATCCGCCATCTTGCATCGAATGTGCACACTCATTTCAAAGACATTCATCTTAGAAATCTTTTTGCCTGGACCGCACGACATCATCAGAAAAAGAAGTTTGATGGTGGCTTCAAGAAGATAGGTGAAATGAGATTGGAGGCACGACAATTTTTGGGAAACATTCCCTCGGAAATGTGGTCACTGCACCACGATGGCGGGTACAGATACAGTACCATCACTTCTAATCTGGCAGAGGTTTTCAATAGCGTGATGAAAAATGCCAGATATTTGCCCATCACCGCTTTGGTCCAGGTTTCCTTTTATCGGGTTAATGCTTATTTTGTTAATAGGCGTGAAACCAGTAAAATTAGGCTGACAGAAGGCCACGAGTACTCCCCACACATCACAGATTTAATTGATAAGAATAGAGAGAAGGCGAAGCATCACACTGTGACTCCATTTTATTTAGGCCGAGGTATATTTTAAGTGGAAACCGGTTGTGGTGGCCGAACATTGGGGAAGGGTGGGAGAAAACAAACTGTCCATCTACAACGGAAAACTTGCACTTGTAAAAAGATGGAGATATATAAGATTCCATGCTCCCATGTGTTAGCCGTGTGCAGACAACGTAGCTTGTCTTATGCTCCATTTGTGGATAAGTTTTTCTCATCTGACCAATACGCCGCCACATATCATAGAGTCTTCAAACTCATTCCTGATCGTGATTATTGGCCTACTTACAATGGACCCGAAATCGTGCACGATCCATCCATGCTTCGGACTAAAGGAAGACCAAAGTCGACACGTATTAAAAATGAGATGGATGAAGCTCCCCGAGGAACGGTTAGATGTGGAAAATGCCACCAAACCGGCCATAATCGAGCAACATGTGCGAAGAGAACGTCAAGACACGAGGGGGGTCCGCGAGGTAAGGTTACATTTAGAGTAATTCACAATTCATGTTTTCGTTGCAAGAAAAAAATATTAATTACAAAAATGGATGATTAAAAAAAGAATTAGTATAATATTGAAAATTAACTAATACAATTTTGTTTGTTTGTAGGCATGGAGGTGACAGCGGATCCTGGGCCGAGTGATCGTTCTGTCCTGACATTGCAGGCCTCGCACAGGAGTGAGGATGTTTGGCTTGGCCTGGATGTTCAAGTGGATATGTGCCGCGAGCACCTGTGGGGTTTGTCGCATATGCACGTGGACGATATAGCGGTTTTTATGGTGCGGGTTTTTATGGTTTGCACAGACTAGTGGCTACTGTGCCTCTAGATAGAGCGCTACTCACTGCTCTACTTGAGCGTTGGAGGCAGGAGACACAGTCATTTCACCTCCCTGTTGGTGAGGTGACAGTGACCTTATGAGATGTTGTTGTACTTACTGGGTTACAGGTTGATTGGAGAGCTGTTACATGCACTGCTTGTCGACAGTGGGTAGATGAGTATGAGCGGTTGTTAGGTATCCGCCCCATTCTTCGGATTGACCTTCAGGGGTCATCTCTGAGGATGCCATGGTTGAGGGAGCACTTCCAGGTGCTTCCTCCGGACGCTGATGAGGTGATGATCCAGCAGCATGCAAGGGCATATATCTTGATGATGATGGGAGCCTCCATTTTCGCTGACAAGAGCGGAAATGAGATTCAGGTGCTGCACTTGCCTATGCTAGAGAGGTTTGATGTAGCAGCACAGTTTAGCTGGGGTAGTGCCACGCTGGCTTATCTCTACAGACAGCTGTGTCGCGGCTGCCATAGAGGGAGCACAGAGCTTGGGGGATTTTTGTTACTCCTCCAGATTTGGTCATGGAAGTATATCCACATTGGGCATCCCATTGTAGTCGCATATCATGGCATTGATGGACACCCACTGCCTGATGAGCCTCCACGTCTTCTAGGACCACATCATGTATGAGGCGAGGACCCTATAGGCCGTTGGTATGTTTTCAATCGTTGGTATTTATGTGATTGTACATTGAATGTAAATATATTAATAATATCCATATTAATGAAACGGTTACATGAATGGTTAGATGGCTATATGCTGGTCTATCGCGCATGTCATCCGCTACTGGCCTCGGTGTCTACAGAGATGCATTTGATCGGATGTCTGAGGATCAGGTATGGTGTGGGTAATATAACATTAACTATAATATGTATAGCATAAATACTAAGTTTGTAACACCGGACCCAAATTTTACTGTGAGAAATTTTTTTCATCAAGTACTGGGTTAAAGAAGGTAAATCAAGACTAAAAGTAGTTTTGATAAATGAGAAAGTAAAATTATGTCTTAAATTAATAAAGGGTTATTAATTTTGACGTGTAACCTCTCGTGATATTCTAAGTTTATTTATAAAATATTAATGTTTACCAAAATGATATTATTATGATAGTAGGGATGGGTCATGGACGCCAGTGATATAAAGAACGACAACTAGACGGCCAAGCGGGCTGGGGTCTCTATCTGATAATTGTGAATCATTAATCATCAGACTGATAATAATTCGGAAGGCTACGAATTAATAACAGATGAAATATAACTATTTTAAGAACCCAAAATATGGGATGATGGATAATAATGAGTAACTTGACAAATTAGAGGTGGGTACTTTTGGAGGACCCTACCTTGAAGATATTTTCGTATAAGAATAAACAGATAAGATTTTATATGTTCATACAGTTCATACCACTTAAAAATAAATGTAACATTTTATTAAAGTGTCACCAAATATGAAACCACATATTAAGTAATGAGAACTGACGAGTGAATTTTCGAGGCAACGTGTTCTCATTTTTACTATTACTTGAACAGTAAAATACACGTTGGGCCCACACGTGGGCGGCGACCATCCGATATTTACGGACAACATATTATATTCATCTTGGTTTAGATAATATTTATATGATGGTGTAAATTAATGTTGAGCCATAAAGTTGGCCTTTCGATCAAACGAGGTCCCATTATCGGTATAGGTAATTAATCAGATAACAACCCGAAATAAATTCCGGGGACCACTAAATTGAAGTTGGGTAATATATATTCATTTTAGAGTCCAATATTAATTGGAAGAATGATATATATTTTACTTAACCCGATAAAATAAAATATAATTAAAACAGTCCGGAAAATACAACTTTCGGGACCAAATACACACTTTGGGACATAAAGGGATGACCTCCCACATGGGTGGGGGCCACCCCACGACATGAGACCATGCAAAAGATGGAGGGGAGCCGACCTATATGGTTGGAGAGTAATAAGAAGTGAAGGGGGAAAATAACGTGAAAGGAAAAAGGGACCCTCCTTCAATATTTTTAGAAGATGACAAGAGAACTATCCTCTCACTCACCCACCCTCCTATTATTTCGGCCCTAGCATCAATTAGGGAGGAAAAGAGTCTCAAAAACATCATCTCCGCCATCTCTACTCGAACTAAGAACAAGGAGAAAGAAGGAAGCAAGAAAAGAGAAGAAGGCTGCCAACTAGTTCGTACAATTTCAACCCTCGAGATTTTTCACCTCATATCTCACGCATCTCTTATCCAATGAGCTTGAGTGAGGTGTCATTAGATAGGTCCTGAAGAGAGCTTTAAGACGAGGTGCTGCACTTAAGGATACGAGGTGTTTACAGCTCAAAAAGGGCAAATAAACACACGAGGTATAAATCTGGATTCTCAAAACAGTTTGTATTTGGTTTCTAGTTATTACCCAAAATTGTTTATAAACCCTATTAACGAATAAGGTGGATATCCTACACGATTATAAGTGTCGTATAAGACCTTCATATAGTAAGTTAATCATCAAAAGGGTTGGATACTAACCTTGAACGGCTTTGGAAGGTTAGTAAAACTGGTTCGCCGGAAAACACCTTCTCGGAAGGTTTTGATGTTTATACCACTTTTGGTTGTGAAACCTTGTTATGAATTTTATCAAGGTATTCTAGACTTCTCAAGGAACCTAGGAGTGTCCGGAAAGTCGCCGGATCCGCCGGATTGTTTGCCGGAAAATTCAAAAAGTCGCCGGAGTTCAAACAAAGAGGATAAAAGCTTGCTAGCATCATTTCAAGGTGAGTGGACGACTACGTGTCTTGTACGTCTTGGTTCAAACGTGGGATTACCTAAATAAAATCATAAGCATGATTTGAGAAATGATTAAATGTATTAAAATGCATGATTAGTCATGGTGAATATGATTAATGAAAAATAGATCAATTTATTAATTAATCATGAGTATATTTTTCTTAAATGAACAAGAAGGTATACTTGGACTATGTATGAGACTAACTAGAGTAATCTAGTGAATGAATATATGAAAATATATGTGAGCTTATGATTATCCATATTAAATATGGATTATGGAAGTATTATATGATTAATGAAAATTAGATTGATTTATTAATTAATCATGAGTATATTTTTCTTAAATGAATAAGAAGGTATACTTGGACTATGTATGTGATTAACTAGAGTTATCTAGTAAGGAAATATAAAAAGATATGTGATATTGTGATTAGTCACATTAATTATAGATTATGAAAATATGACATAATTAATGATTAATTAATTAATGGTATGAATAAAAGGTTTTAAGAGAGGATCGTGAGCCATGTTTTGGGTTTAGGCATGAGATCACTTAAAGGAGGCTGAATGATATTACATAGAATGATAGAATTCATCTAAGAATGTATTAAGACAAGATTTATTATTAAGTCCATTAATAAGTATACTTAGTATGCTTGAATTTGGATAGAAAATGATTATAAATTATATGAGAAGTTTTGGACGTCCAAAATGATATTTTTGGACTAAGAATGACTTGTTGGATAAGTGTATAAAATTTCGTGGAAATCGGACTACGTTTAGATGGTCAAACGGGCGTTGACCAGAATTTAACGCCTTTGACCGGCACCGGTTAGGACATGACCGGCGCCGGTTGTGTGATTTTAAGGCCGGTTAGAAGCGCCGGTCCAAAACAGGTCTCTTGGCCTTCGGGATCAGTGATGTACGGCGCCGGTTGGGGCATGTCCGGCGCCGGTCAGAGCTATTTAATTCTGAATGATGAATTCGAGCGGGTAGTCGGTGCGAGGCTAGCCCGTGGTTTGATAGTTTAAGTTGGGTACCAACTCTAAAATTATGTTTGATCTATAGTTGACCGAGGGTTATTACGACTAAGGTCGGTAATGTAATTGTTAAGTTCAAGTGTCTCGATGAGTAACTCGGGTTCTGGCGGGACCCGACACTAGTTGTATGAGCATGACTTGGACCCGGAGCGGTCCATTCATGGTTTGGGGTAGACGGGAAGCCTTGATAAAGGTTAGTCCTAAGTTGATTTGAGTATGATGATACAAACTATATTGTTAAAGAACTTGCACGACAAGATAAGGTAATAAGGGCAAGTGTAGTCCTTGAGGTGTGTTTAACCTCCAGTAAAGTACACATAGGTAATAAGGGCAGGTGTAGTCCTTGAGGTGTGTTTAACCTCCGGTAAATGACACATAGGTAGCAAGGGCAAATGCAGTCCTTGAGATGAGTTAACCTCCATCAAATTGCATATAGGTAACAAGGGCAAATGCAGTCCTTGAGGTGTGTTTAACCTCCATCAAATTGCATATAGGTAACAAGGGCAAATGCAGTCCTTGAGGTGTGTTTAACCTCCATCAAATTGCATATAGGTAACAAGGGCAAATGCAGTCCTTGAGGTGTGTTAACCTCCATCAAAGTGCATATAGGTAACAAGGGCAAGTGTAGTCCTTGAGGTGTGTTCAACCTCCATCAAATTACACATAGGTAACAAGGGCCCGCGTAGTCCTTGAGGTGTGTTAACCTCCAGTAAATTACACATAGGATGAGAGTGTATATGCGTACTCCTCAAGGCGGGGTTAACCCGGAAATGAAAACTATGATAGCAAGGACGGATAGTCCTCGAGGTAGGTGAACCTCAAGGTAACGATTTTAAATGATTAAACGTGCTTGATCGGGAACGAGTTTCCGATAGGAAATTTTCCTTGGTCTAGGAATTGATTTAAACCACGTCCGTGATATGGGAGTCCGGAGGGCCCCACAGTAATTATATGTTGATATCGGGTGAGTTAGCCTGCGGGTGACTCCACTTGAGGGTAAGACATGGGAAGGGTGAATTTAATGAGGCTGTTACGCCTAAATGATTTGAAAGACAAATGGGCCCACGGGCCAGGTATTTTACTCATATGTATATATGTATACATTTTGTTTTGAAAAGGGGTAGCTAAGAGTTATGCCCATAATTATACTATCACCCTATTTTGAGGGTCTCACGTGAGAAACGTTAGCTACATTACATACAGTTTGCCCTCACCAGTACTTTTCTGTGGTACTGAATTACTGATCCCTCGGGGGAACCACCCTTTCAGGTTGAAGCTAGAGCTTACTTCCTGCACCCGTTGTTCGGGAGATCGATGGAGAGAAGAAGTGGTTCGTGCTTCCTCTGGTTCTATTTCTAAATAATTAAATAATGCTCATGGAACTATTTTCACTTATAAATTAATGGAGCCTGCGAGCTCTTGTTTTACCCTTGTGTGAGTTCTTATTAAACACTTATATTCCGCTATGTGTTTGATTGTATGTTGATGTTGTTATGTATGTTTACTAATCGGTTTTGGCATATGTATCTATCAGACGTCTTGTATAATTCGGTGAGGATGAACTGCGGTTATTCTTATTGGGTTGTACGACGATTGTCCACGTGGCACAGACGCGGTCTGGGGCGTGACAAAGTTTGTATCTTTATGAAACAGACTACATGGATGCCGTATACAGCCAAGATGTTTGCAGAGTTGCCCCCAGTTGGACGAGAGCATAGTCACATATGGCGAGCACGTGTGCCATTGATATGTTTTGACATTGTTGAGCTTCATTTGCCTGATAGAGTCTTGCGACAGTTTGGGTTTGATCAGGTCATTCCACGGCCTATCGACACTTATGTAGAGCTTCATAGGCTGGATAGGCGTGGGAAGCATACGGAGGATTGGGCATTGAGACATGTCCGATACATCTCTCTATGGGACAGGCGAGCTGAGCTAGTTGTGACTGGGATACCGACATTTGTCCCATCTGTTTCAGGAGACTACATGGGATGGTATTACAACATCACTCGTTTGTTTGTGTCTCCTTCATTCAGACTCCCTACTCATCATTATCAGCCTAGCTCCTTGGCTTTACATCTTACGGTGAGTATATTACTAATTAGTAAAGTAAGTCATTTTATTTATTTAATACTTGTATGTATTTCAATGTAATTGTAATTGTGTTTCATATTTCAGACACGAGCTTTGCAGCGCATACATTAGCGGGCTACTGCCATAGTGAGTGAAACTCATGATGTGGACATGTATGGACAGGCTCTAACAGGCATTGCCTCTTGTGTTCAGATGTGTTGGGGCGAGTCGACTACGACCATCTTATACACATGCCCCCATCTCAGGAGATTCCATCGACGTCTAGTGCAGCAGCGGCTTCATCATCTCAGACGCAACATGAGAGAGTGGTTCTTCAACCACGACAACGGTGTAGGCGTAGACATAAGCAGCAACATCTCCATGACCAAGATGACCATGGGAACTTGTAGTTTGTCTTTTGTATTGCAATTTTTCTTGTACATTAGATGTTGTAGGAACAATTTACAACATTTTACGTATTTTCTCTTGTAAACTCTTGTATGTTGTCTTGATGTGTTCGAGTATGAATATTAGATGATTACTTGTTATGAATATTGGATGATTGTACTGTGTTATACCGATTAGGAATGTAAGGTTTTGTATTTGATTTGTAAAGGGTATTTACAAGGTGTTTTTTATGTTGTTGAGAGTAGGTGTTATGTATGTGATTGTGAAGACGTGTGTTGTATGTTTTAGAATGTGTTGTATCTGGCTCGTAACACTTAAGCAAGAGAAGAGAGACCTTATTTATAGCAAATAGATGAGTCTGGGTTGAACTGGGGCGAAAAACATGCTGAAATTATGTTTTCGGACTTGGACACGATCGTGTGTGGCTAGCAGTAGCTGATGGCCTTCGATCATATACAAGGGGTAAGTCGCCCAACGGTTGGGCGACTTACCCCTGACCATGGTTAAGCCCATCAGTAGATCGGTAAATACTTTTTTTCCAGCATTTTTTCATAATTAATTAATTAATATTACTTCGAAAAAACTCATATTTTACGAGCACAACACGGCAAAAAGAAGCGATTTGAGGCTGAAACGCCCAATCATTTATTTATCATTTACTAGACAACCGAGCATGGATGATAAATAAACAGAATTTGTACATGAAATAATCGGTGATATTTGTGCATTTTTTATATAAAAATTGAGTATATGATACGGAGTATAAGCTCGTGTTAAAAGCGTGCACGCGCGCACACACACACACACACACATATATATATATATATATATATATTTAGGTTCATGTGAGAACTTAATATTAGGAGAGTAAAAAAGAATTATCTAGAGCCGTTGGATTGCAACATCATTTACATTAATTAATTAATTAATTACTTAATTCGTAGAAGGGTATATGGGTAATTCACAATCCTTTCCTTTAAAACCCGATCCTACGTTATAACACATGATAATAGTAGTTCTCTTATACGAAGTATTCATTATTTCTTTCCATATTCATTTAATTTCCTTTCTTTGTCTCATCATATGTGATTCCTATCTTCATCATCGACAACCTCCATCGGGGTTTCTGGCCACTGCGAGAGAGGACTGAAGATGATCTGGAGATGGGCAGAAATTCTCCTCCGGCATCCAGAGGTGCTTTGTCGGGCTTTAATGCTTCTGCCGCTTACTTTGTATCATATCATTCCTTAATTGGGACCATCTTCACGTGATATGTGTATGTTGCGTTTTATGAGTTCTCCAATTTCTTGTCTTAGTCATTAATTACTCCGTGTTAGTTTCTCAAAATTATATTCTTAAGGTATAATATATTTCTTGTTTTGGTTTATCTTCGATCATGTTGTGCTCATACAATACAGACTACAAGTATATTTTTTTGAAATTCATTTTATTCATCTTAAAGGTTGAAAAATCTAAATTGGTAGTTTATTCTAAAAAATGGTTTATTTGCTTCATCAAACTCATTCCATGATTATGGTGCATCAGCCATTGTTTTTTAAATGTCAATGTTAATTTTTTTATGCATTTAACAATTTTTAGATATTTTGAACACGATTTAAATTCGATTTAAGTCATGTAACCATACATGTTTATTGTTGCACATTTACATATGATTGTTGCACACTTTTTAGACTTATTATAATTGCACTAAACTAATTATTAAGTTTCCAGATTTGCACTAACAATTAGTGCACCTACATTATTATGTGATGCATTTACATGTTGGTATGGAACACTTTCACGATAACTATCGATTTGATTTTCATATAGTAATAAAGATGGTTTTCTATTAAGTTTTCGATGCACTTATCATGCTTTGGTCATGCACTTTCATTAGTTTTTACTTTTTGACTTTTTTTTGCAGATATGATGCAGTGCCAATAGAGCAACGGTGATCCATTTGGAAGAAAAAGTGCATTTTGTTTTGTATAAATTTCAATGTAAAATTGTAGAAAGTTTGTTATAATAGTGCACTTTTGTATGTATACCAAATGCACATGATTAAAGTCCATTACATTCTATAAGAAGGGTGTATCTAAAACTTTAGAAAATGTAATATAATGTTGCACATTTGTATACATTAAAGTGCACTTTAGAAAATGTGATATAATCTTGCACTCTTATATACATTATAGTGCGATGTTCTATAGATATAAAATGCACATGACAGTTGTTGATTCACACCTAGATAATATCTATGTGATCGAGGTATGCCGACTAGATTGAAGGGTAAATTTTATAGGACAACAATTAGGTCTGCATTACTGTATGGCACAAAGTGTTGGACTGTGAAACAATGTCACATTCAAAAGATGAGTGTGGCAGAGATGCGCATGTTGCGTTGGATGTGTGTGCATACTAGAAAGGACCGCGTGAGGAATGAGACAATCAGACAAAGGGTAGTACTCAGAGTGTCAGATAAGGAAAACGGCTCGGCTCTCTTGTAACTTTGTAAGCAGAAATCAATTGAAATTGAAATAATGTAACACCGTCCCCAAATATATTTACTTTTATGTAAATAATGTATTGAACCTTATTAAAGGATTAATGAATGTACGAAGTTGTAAATTTTTATTATTTCTTTCGCGTGAATAGTAAATTGCACGTGGGACCCACACCGGGAGTGGGGGCCGCCCAACATTCCCGAGACCATATATTTTATTCATCTTGGTCTAGATAATAAATATATAGTGGTGGATATTTCATTTGGGCCATGGAAAGGCCCAGAGTTGACCGATCGGTCAAAAGAAGCCCAAATTACCGGTACTGGTAATTTAACGGATAACGGCCCGAACTGAATTTCGGAGGCTTATAAATTAAAGTTGGGGAATGTATATTCATTATACATGTCATAATGAGTAAGAGCACATGATATATTTTATTTGACCCGATAAAATAAAATATATTTAAAACAGTCCGAAAAATACAACTTTCGGGACAAATTGTACACGTCGGGGCAAAAAGGGTTGACCTCCCACATGAGTGGGGGCCAACCCACGATTTTTGCCACTCAAATTGAGGGCTTGGTCGGCTGGTTGAATAGGGGAGCATGGGAGGGAGAAGTTGACATGATCTAAAAGGCATCAAACAAAAATGAGGTGGCCCCCCATCCACACTCATTTGTTCAATGAGACAAAGGGGTAAGCCTCACCCCTCTCTCCCCCATTTCGGCCAAGCTACAGCAAGAAGAGAAAGAAAACTCTTCTTCTTCCTTCCTCCATTGTTGAAGAGAGCTCATCAAGGAAGAATCACCCAAAAAGGAGCTAAGGTGCTAAAAGTGTGAAAAGATTAAGGTAATGACCTTATTACAACTCCCTCTCTATTTTTTTCTTCTACCATATGAGATATATTTCATGTGAAGAATCCTTAAGAGGGTTCTACATGTTATAAGTATGGATTAATGGGTTGGAAAGTGATTCTATGTCCAAAAACGGACTTAGAAGCCAAAACGACCGGTTCACCGGAAAATAACCTTTTATAGGTTATTTGTATTGATTAAGGTTTTATGATGTTAAAACCTTGTTAGGCACTTGTAAAGGGTATTTCAAGTGATTTCACAAAGTTGGAAAAGTCGCCGGAATTGTCGCCGGAGTTGACCAAAAAGTCACCGGAGTTTCACCGGAGTTCAACCAAGAGGGGTAGAACTTCATACGCTAGTTCAAGTGGACGCCTTCCATGACACCTAATTAACAACTGTGTTGCAGCCACTTTTTATCATTCTTCTTTCTATAATTTGTTCTGGGATCTTTGGTAAATCGGAATCATGAAAGAACTGGGGAAGATCAGCTGCCATAAAAGAAGGATCCACACATCTTTTAAGCTGGCTGACATGAAACACACTATGTATTTGAGACCCAACTGGCAATGCTAACTTGTAAGCCACAGAAGTTTTCCTGTGATTTTGCAACTTCAAATACACCCAATCACCCAACTAAAACACTCTTTCAGTTCTCCTAACATCAGCCATTTGTTTCATCTTGTTCTGTGCTCTTTCTAGCTGAAATTGCAACTCTTTCATCATATTCCCTCTTTGTGTCAAACTTCTATCCATTGCTTCATTTTCTGATTCCACTGGCAGATAAGGCAAATGAAGTGGTGGAGGCTGACCAAATAACACTTCATAAGGGGTGGTTTTTGTTGATGTGTGAAAAGAAGTGGTATACAACCATTCAGCTAATGGTAACCAATTACTCCAGTTTTTGTTTTATGGTAAAACAGGCGTTTTTATATTAAAATCAAGAACACATACTAGACAATCTTCAGGCAGATTTTACAGATGTAATCGTGAACCCTAGGAGTAGACATAGAATCAGTCACCTCATACAAAGCAACCTGACTCGCTAAACCTAAAACAAGCAAATTTAAGCCTAAAACGAACAGATCTGAAACCCTGCCTATCAAATTAACTCCAAAAATCCAAGCATTCAAACCAAATCCACTCTGACTAAAACTAAAACTAGTACTACTAAAGAAAAAATAATATTGAAATAAAATCTTTCCACAAAACTCTTCTTGGTATGGAGGTGGTTCTGGAGGAGGACAACTTAGAATTGCACATACACCTTATTCAGAATTAAGGTTAACTTACTTAAGTGGTGTCCAATCATTTATGAAAAGATATTTGAATTGTGCCACTTTCATGATTACCTTTCATAAAGTATAAAGGCATAATCACTTATGAAAAGATATTTAAATTATACCACTTTCATGCATAACATATCTAGGTACGTAGATATGGCATTATCATGCAATAACATATTAATTCATTTATTCGTTATGCATGTCAATCATTCACACAGAACAGAACTAAGTATAGTTCTAATTTTCGTTCCTGATAGAATGGAGAGAAGTTCTATCCGCTGGTCTACCTGCAGGGTTAGTCAACGATAAAATATATATGACCGTTTTGGACTTTAGGTTCAGGTCTACAGCTTGTCCCAAAGTATGACTTATCTTCCTTTCCTGCAATCACTTATAGATCTAAAGTAACACTAGTCGTTTGTCATCAACAAAACAATATGTTCCAACATTTACCCTTTAGTCTAATCGGCATACCTCGACCGCATAGAAATCCTGACGCACCCTTCCACTTCATCAACCCTATTCTGATTCTATGGGATACATCTCCATCTAACTCA